ATCAACATAGTTAAAGCGCTGTACGATGGTTTTGAATGTGCTGTTGTCGAGGAAGAAGCAACCTCAGAATGGTTTGAACTAACGAATGGTGTCAAGCAAGAATGTACAATGTCTGGCTTTCTTTTCCTGCTCATTATAGACTGGGTAATGAGGCATACTGTGAAAGAGGAGGGAACCGGGCTGAGGTGGAAATTTACATCCAAACTTGAGGACCTCGACTTCGCTGACGAAGTAGCTTTAATTTCCTCAACGCAAAGGCACGTGCAGTTGAAAACAAACAGGCTGGTAGAAAATGCAGAAAGGACAGGCCTTCGGATAAATGTCGGGAAGTGCAAAGTCATGAGAGTCAATGCAAAGAATAATGAAGCCATCACAGTGAATGGTCTGGCGTTGGAAGATGTAGAGAAGTTTATCTATCAAGGAGCCACAGTATGTAAACAAGGGGGCGGAGAAGAAGACATCAAGGCTAGGCTAGGGAAAGCGAGGGGAGCGTTTGTGTAGCTGAATCGAGTATGGAATTCCAGCAGTGTGTCGAGGAAGACGAAGATCAGGCTATACAAAACATTGGTCAAACCAGTTCTCATGTATGGTTGCGAAACATGGAAAGTGAACGAAGGTGATGCTAAGAAAATCGATGTGTTTCAGAACCGATGCCTGAGAAGGATAATGAAGATTAANCATGTATGGTTGCGAAACATGGAAAGTGAACGAAGGTGATGCTAAGAAAATCGATGTGTTTCAGAACCGATGCCTGAGAAGGATAATGAAGATTAAATGGCAAGATAGGATTAGTAATAGGGAGCTACTGGAAAGGGCTAACGTGGAGAGGTTGAGTGAAGAGGTAAGAATAAGGAGATGGCGATTTATTGGACACATCCTCAGACAACAACCTGACAAAAACAACCTGGCGGCGCACAGTAGAAAAGGAGAGGTCCAAAGCAGGGTGGCAGTCCTGGAGAGAGGTGCGCACTGCAGCGCAAGACAGGAATCGATGGAGAGCACATGTGGAGGCCCTATGCGCCAACTTGGCGCCAGGGGACAGGTGAAGTTGAAGTCAAGTTGCGATGACCAAAGAACAAGAAATAACACACAGACTGTGGTGATAAACATGACAATAAAACGCATTGTTGGAAAACAAAAAAAAACTATATCATTTAACTCGACGTTTCGTATGTTATATTTTTGTTTTCCAACAATGCGTTTTATTGTCATGTTTATCACCGCAGTTTGTGTGTTATTTCTTGTTAAGCTACGATGGCCAAAGAAAAAGAGTATCTAAGAACAAGAGTTTGTATGTATAGGCGCTACTCCGTTCCCTCCACAAATTTCAAGTTCATAAGAGCCTGCTGGCTAACCCTTTCCCGCCAAAAGATGTGGAATAAATTCCAAAAAAGTCCCCTGACATCATTGTCATTTAATGCTATTTTTTTGGTGAACTTTTCTCTTCGGGGGNTGGCGAGAAAAAGGGAAAGGAGAATTGAAGTGGAGGGGGAGGGGGGAGGATGCATACCATGGGATGGGATTCAGCCGGTTTCGGGACCTTTCAGTAGAAGGAATTTTACGTTTGGGTGAATAATTTTGGGTAGACGTTATTTAAAATAAGTCATGACTTTGTCTTCTTTTCTAGAGAAATGCTTAAACAAAGCTTCACCATGGGGGATCTTTTGATCAGAAATAAGTCATACACATTCATGGACCTGTTATCGGTGGAGGGAGTGCATTACTGCAGGGAGACTGTGTTGCGTCTGATATTTGGATAGCTTCTAATTCTAGCTTAGCGCTTTTTTCAGCTAGGTGGAAGGGCGTATCTTTTAAGAAATTCATCGGACAAAACCTCTGGCAGCAAAACTGAAGGATCACTATAGACGGTAGTTATTTCCTATTTCCTTTCAGCAGATCTAACGCTAGCGGGGGGGAGGGTGGGGGGTTGGAGGGGAGGGCGGGGAGATGGGCACATGAAAGCTGATGTTCTGACCGACGTTTCCCATTAAAAAGATTGAACTTTTAAATTCTACATTGCGAGAAACAGAAACTGCATTGAATCAGGGAAGGCTATGCGATCCCGAAGCCCTGCAAGAAAATTCTGCATTGTTAATGTTAGGGCCAATCGGAATACAGGAAAGCCGTTCTATGGCGTGGTATAAAAACAAGTGTGTACACCAAGAAAATGTAAGTGACAAGTGGAGCTGGAATAGAATGATCACGAAAAGCAGCAATGATTTTTTCCCCCATTTCTCTAATCCCTTCGCAATAATACATTTCATATCTTCCACTCTTCTCATTAAAATCATATAAACTGCGTAGTAGAATTGTCCAAATATTTGAAAACCTGCTGAAAACGTCATTTCTTCCAGGCAGGGAACGTTTCATCGTGCTATCGTTCCAATTCCTTCTCTTCTTCAATTTCTCGCGTTCTGATTGGTTCTATGATGTAAACTGACGTCTCCATTGTTTCCTCCGAATATTGTTTGCATCAACAGCATATAGAAAATGGCCGATCCATGCCAGGATGTTTGAGACGAGAAGATGGCGAAATACTCCCAAAATTCCACCTTGAAAGATGGGCAAATTGCCGGATTGTACGACTTACAAGAAACTCTAGGATGCGGGCACTTTGCTGTTGTTAAAGTTGCGAGACATGTTTTCACGGGAGAGCGCGTGGCTGTTAAAGTGATTGACAAAACTAAACTCGATGAGATCTCCAGAGCTCACCTCTTCAAAGAGGTTCGTTGCATGAAGCTCGTTCAACATCCAAATGTGGTTAGACTCTACGAAGTCATCGACACACAAACTAAACTTTATCTTGTTCAAGAATTAGGCGATGGCGGTGATATGTACGAATATATCATGAACCATGAACAAGGCCTCAGCGAAGACAAAGCCCGACATTATTTCCAGCAAATTGTACTCGCCATTGACTATTGCCACAAACTACACATAGTGCACCGGGATTTGAAGCTCGAAAATGTGATATTCTTCAAGAGTTTGGACGTAGCCAAGCTTACTGATTTTGGATTTTCGAATAAGTTCTCTCCCGGTCAAAAACTCGATACCTCATGTGGGTCTCTTGCTTATTCCGCTCCTGAAGTTTTGCTTGGAGATTCGTACGAAGCTCCAGCAGTAGGTAAGTTTTTTCTTCATTATTAACTTAATATTAAATATCGGCTTTGAAAGTTGCGTGTTCATTTCCTCATGCTGTTCAACTCTGCCTTGACTAAGCTTATTGAAATATGGTGCATTTTCACATATTTCACCTTTTAATAACATAAACATGCTTCGGCCCTGCGGGGTTGAATCATAAAATTATAGTGGTTTGCCGTTTGTAGCAGGATCATATTTTGTTCAATATCAAGTTCTCTGGAAATTTTCCTTGTTGTCTTCACAATATCCAAGGCGTCGTATGCTTTTACATGTATGTCGTGTTGATTCATGTGATGAAAATTACTGTTACAAGAAGTCATGCGTTAATTTGCTTGCCGCCTTGGAGGTGCACGTTTCGAATATTTACCTCTTGTACAAATGTATTTAGATATACTGTACTCGAGTTTTTCAACTGAACTGAATTTTATTGGCCTCTCACAGTAGGAGGCAAGCGTTTTAATTTTACTGAACTTTCTGTAATATCTACTGTAATCAGTCATCAACCAGATTATTTTTTTTTGAAATTTATTTTTGTTGGGGGTAGAGCTATTAATATTTTAATATTAAAGTTGACTAATGTGCACGCGGAAATCGACACCTGCCATAAACGTAACCAACTTAAATTTGAATGAATTCTATTTTTCGGTTACATGTAAAACAATAAGTGACAGATTAGTGTGTTTCATTATCAGATTTTTGACTTCACTTTTTGTTTCAATTTTTGTGGGTTTTCACATTATCAGTTCTTGATAACTGGGAAAAGATTGTCAGGATCTAACTTGAGGTCTAAAAGTACAAATTGTAATGCTATTGAGGTGGAGAGTTTAATTTCGCTGATTTGCAAATCCATTGAGACTGAAGTTTCATAAGTAATGAATATAAAATTAATGTTGTTAGATGTTTCTAAAATACTTGGATTCGCGAGATGTTTACACTACAGAGGTATTTGAATGGGACCAAATTCACTGTTTTTATGAAGATAATGGTTCTTATGTCCTTGCAATCTTTTACTGGGTATTCCAGGACATGTTGTCGCTTGCTTAAGTTACCAAAGCAAATTACAGCATTTGTGAATTTGTCCTGTCAAAAATCGTCCTTCACGCTTGTCCAATCCAGGCTATGTGAACACTAATTGTCACCTTCTGAATATAGAATAGAATGCAATAATTTCTTGTTTGCCTAATCATCTCATTGTCAACATTACAGCAATCACTGCCTATTGCAGTGTAATTATTAAGCCAGCTGTTACCACATAATTTGCGATATAAGTATGGAGTGAAATTCAGAAGTTTCTTGATCCATACACAAGTGAAATATTTAGGTCTAGCTCAAATAGTGAATCTGGTACAAATCAGATTGTTGATGGCAGCGACATGATAATGTGCATGTCTTTTTGCTTTGATTGACATAGCCTGTGTTACAGCCGTCCTCGCCGAACAAAAAAATTGGAGACAGTGTCTGTGTTGCCATGCTAATTTCATGTTTGCTACATAAATTGCCCACTGATTAAAGCCATTTCAGTGCCATAGCATCTAACGTGACACATGGAGACAACAAAGGAATTTGCTATCTGGAAGTGATCTTTGCATGAGATGTTAAGTAACAGCCTGCAAAGCAGGAGGATTAGTTGGGGCAGAGCGCAAAATGCGATACAGGGGCATGGAGCATGACCATGGATGTGAAACGCGATTTTAAATCAAAGAACATCTGCCTGTCAGTCACACTGAGTGTAATGCTCTTTGAACCATTTGCCAGGCGAACAGTTTTTGCTCATTGGTTACTACATCAATTTGTACGGCTTGTGACATTTTTACCATTTGCTGTTCTCGTTTGAATTTACAGTTTTTTCAACCTTTCATTTTGTTCCTCACTTTTTTCTGAAGAACACTTTAAGTTAAGAATTTCTTTAAAAATGGAGTATAGCCGTTTGACTGTGGTATTAGCAAATGTTTAGAGTTCATAGGTTGGTTTTGAATGTGATCTGTCACTTGGTGGAGTTTGATCACATGTATCATTTGATGTTTCCAGGACAATGTATAAAGTTTATGACATGTAACTGCAAGTGTTGCGCTAAAAAAGGAACTGTTCAAATTAGTCAATTGAAACTACAACACAATGGCTGTTAAAACCTCTGGTTAAATTATTGATCAAGGAAAGTATTAATGGCAGCTTGTAACTTTTAGTTCAAATAACTCAGATTAATTGTGTTAAAATTTCCACTTCATTTGTTGGTGAGTGTTAATCTCAATCGTTTTTGCGTACATCACACAGTGGTCATGTAGATGCTGTGAAAAATTAAATTGAAGTCAAGTAAAGACTGGCTTTTATCTGTTAACTTTTATTTTACAGCACTGTTTAACATTTTATTAAAAAACCTTTCTGCTGTTTGAAAAATATACAGAGATATGCGAGGAGAATAAGATTTTTACTATAATTGCTCTTGCATGCTAAGGCTTGTTATTCAAGTTTTATCAAAGGATAGTCAGTATTCTCATTTCTTGTTACTAATAAATGGTTTTTGGTTTAGACATTTGGAGTCTGGGAGTCATTCTTTTCATGCTGGTGTGTGGTCGCGCCCCATTTTATGAGGTTAACGACAGCGAAACACTCATCAATATCATGGATGTGCGGTACAGTGTATCTGATCATGTATCTCAAGCCTGTCAGAGGTTAGTTTCTGATGATATAAACCATTTGTCAGATGTGTTTTTGACATTGTTTTGGACTGGATGTAACATCATAAAATAACATCATACGACATTAGAACTACTGAAAGTATTTTTAACCTGCCCCTACACAAGGAGATGATATCTAACAGTGCATGTTAGATCCCACTGAATTTCTTTAGGCCGAGGATTTCTGTTATTGTGTCCCATTTTCAAATCTTTGTCGTGATATGAAATATTCAAATATGTTGTGTGGGAAAATGACTCACAGCAGGATATTGTATGAAGGAAGCTGCATTTTGTTAGTTTATGTTTGTTATAATCTTCAACAAAAACAACATCCAACTGATGTAAACTGCCAAATACTTCCTGTTGTACTAAAATGTCCTGTGCAAAGTATCTAGTTTACCCAATTTAAGAACAAGAATAGGCCATTTCAGAGTTTACTTTTGCTTCTGTGTCAAAATAAGTCTGTGCGAAACTGTTCAATATGAAAATGTATTCTGCCTACCTGTTTATTTTCTGGCAAATCAAACTCATAACACAGAACTGGCCTATTGAATATTTTCTATCATTACCACGAGGATTGGGAAGGCCGTGCGCCATGCGCATATGGCACATAAAGCTACAAAATGGTGCATTTTGAAAGTACTTACCAGGCCTGCGATACGCCCTAGAACAAAACAGCTGGTAAAATATACACTTTGTGGAAAGGACTTTCATTTGTGAAATTTTCAGTGAAATGACGAATAAACACATGAGAAATCATGATGCCTTCTCTCTGTAATCAACGCTATAAAAGCATTCAATTTGTTTTTGTTCACAGACCCCTTACTTGGACTCTGCTCGGAAACGAGGTTTTCGCTCAATCCATGAACTTTCAGTTTTCAATGATAGAATCGCCCGACTTGAATATGTTTTGCATGCTATAATTAGCCAAATAATGTGCCTCCAAAAGCGAAAGTTCCGAAATTGGATGTCCAAGACTCTGAGATTGTTGCTGTTTTGCACTTTGAACACGGAGTCCACCACAACGAATTGTGATCCTGAAAACAACAATGAAGCCAAAGCTTCCAAGCCTTCTAGTCTGCTTGAGGGATGTTGAGTAAGAATGTCACAGGGAAGGTTTAGCACAAGAAATCTTAAATGAATCCCAGAAAAGGAATATACCCCCTACAAAGATGATTGGATTTGGTTCTGATGGAGGAAATGTCATGAGTGGAGAAGGAAAAGGCATAAATGGGAGGCTGAAAGAACAAAATGCGCACATGATATCGCTTGTTGAAATTTTTTATGGCCCATTTATTTACCCTAATGGCCCAAATGTTTTAAAAATGGCCCATAACTTGCCATTGCCACAGGCCATAGGCTCATTTGCCTGTTTTGCCTTCCCAATCCCTGTTACCACAATTGGGTAATGACAAGTAATTTACATTACGGTATTTTTGGAGCTTTCTGCTACCCTTTGTTCCAGTAAGTGTCAGCATTACCAATGTAAATTAAGGCAATTGATGACAAAATCTACCATTTCAAACTTCTCCTTCTGTCTTTCAACAGCCTCATAGAAAAGATGTTGGTGCGGGAGCCATATTTACGCTCCACTTTAGAGAGCATAATGGCTGACCCCTGGTTTCAGGGGGGACACCCTCCTGTACTTCCCACCCCTGTACCCTTAGTAACAGAACTCCCACTCACCCCAGAAGAACACAACTATGTGATGGACACGATGGAGGCTGGGAACATTGCTGACCGAGAGACTGTTCAAAAGTAAGTGATGCTGCTGTTCTACATTTGTCTTGGTAACGTCGAGAATTCTATATGGAAACCTGTGCAAGTGTGTCCATACAAGGGATATTTTTGTTATTTTGTAGAATTTTATATGATTAATTCAGTTTTGGTTCAATAATTTGAAGAGGTCATGGGTTTGAATCCTGTTCCAGCCTGAATTTTATTTTTTTTACAACTGCTTTAGTTGTGTAGATAACTGCAATAATCTATTCCGACATCTAACCTGTTTTTCATTTGCTCAGCCAGTCTTGGTTGAATAGGACTGGTATTTAAAATTAGAAAGACATGTATATTTGTGGTCTAAAGACTTTTGTGCTTCAGCCTTCGGCTTAATAGTTAATTTATATGTGACATTTACAGGTCCTTGGAAAACAATACATACGACCATGTGACAGCAACCTACTACCTTCTAGCAGAACAGCTGTTACGGCGTTTGAAAACATCAAACAGCAGCTTACAACCTTCCGTCAGAAGAAGAAAGAATGGACGGCTTTCCTTGCCGGAGAACAGGCGACGAGAACAGCTCCCAAGGTATTGTAACTATCTGATGTTAGTATCACCCAACTAGTGGACTAATGCAATCCTGCATTTTGATTGGCTATGCTACTAGAGGACTATTAGTAATAGTCCTCGAGTGGCGAAATTGGCGCCAAATTGGCGTGACGCTTTCTTTCGTTGCATTCCCAAATAAATATTTCTTCAACTTGCATTTGCTAACTTTATTATTGCCTTTGCTCTCCGACTAGTTGGGTGATACTAAAACAATTAGACCCTCCGCCCTCAAGGGCCACGGGTCTATAGCCCATTCGGCTTCGCCTCATGGGCTATTGACCCGTAGCCCTTGCGGGCTACGGGTCTAATTGTTAAGTAACAATGTTTAGACAGGCTTAGGAAATGCTTGAAAAACTCGTTGTGAGAAGTTTAAATGGGCACAAGTAAATTTTCAAACACTAAAAAAATTGCGTGATCCCGCAGGGCGAGTGCAATGTGCAGTCTTCGAGAAATTTATGAGTGCTGATTTATTTCAAACTGCAATTGAAAAAAACGATAAGGTGATCTGGGTGTTGGGGTAAGCCCATTAACCTTTTTAGACGCATAGGGAACATAATTTTCCTTCGCAACATTACTCTGGTAATAAAGCGTGTGTCAAAGCCCTCTGTTAATTGAACCTCCCATATTTCTTCAGCACTCCTGTGGTAGAATTCGTGGAAGAAGATAAAGAAAACGATTCTGAGAACCACTCAGACACTGGCTCGGCCTCAAGCTCCCCGAGACTTCGCCGCAACTCCTCTGGAAGACTGGCGCCGAGGGAGGGGCAAATGTTGAACGAAACGATTAAGGCGCATGCGATCGAGGCGGATGAAGTTCTGCACAGTTCGATGGAAGAAGATGATCTAGTGGTGTCCGGAAGTCTTTCGAAAACGCATGTAAAATTCCACTCAACGAGCGCCCTTCCGGATAAGCCTTCCACATCGACAAACTCCCAGTTTTCGACCGAAATCACTCCAAGTTTTCCGTCGTTGGCGCGACCTAGAGTCGGTCGCCACAGTCGATTGGGAAAAGCGAAGAGCACTCCTTTGGCGTTGAATCAAATTCACGAGGAGCGTGAATCTGATTTAGAGGACAGTCCAGTTAACTCGCCGCGTGTTGAACGGACTAGAAAACATCTCGGGGGAGGAGTGATGAAATCAAAAAGGACAACGCGCCGCCTGTCGCCGGTACCCTCGGGAGGCAGTCGGCGATCCTCGAGTTGCAGTAGTTCAGATGAAGACGAAATCGAAAAACACATGCGTAGGCTTAAAACCACTTCTGGATGTAAATTAAGTTCCAGGCGCGCGAATAACGATGATGGCGACTTCGATGGGGATAACGGGGGAGGCAGTGGTGTTGGAGGAGGTAGTAGCCTGGGAACTACTCTAGTAGTTCCCTCGGAAAATGGCTCGAGCGGAGAGCAATCTTCGTCTAATAAAAACCCACCGTCTAAACAAGAAAGTAACGGCAAAAACAACTGTTTAAACGTGAATCATGGATTTGCCCCACTTTGCGAGGATCTAGGCGTTATAGAGGAGAGCAATAAGGAAAACTTTGATAATAATATTGCAAACGATGTGGAAGAACTTGAGAAGAAAGGAAAAACGGAGATTTGCAATGGGAAAAAGAGCCCACTCATTGAGGAATGTGACGTATTACCTTCCAAAGGTGACGCGGAACAAGACCGAAACGGGTTTTTAGAGAAACGAAATAGCGCCTCGAAGTACATTCGTAAAAACTGCGACGCAGACGGAAGAACGTTTACTTTGAATAACGACAACGAACAAGAGTATAGCAAAAACAAGCGCAATTCTCTTGATGGTATGGTAAATATAGAAATCGGTGATGTGAGCCTGCAGTCCAGAGACACAAAGAGGCTGGTGGAGGACACCAAGAAAAACATGCGTTTACTCCACAGCCCAGCCATTCAAACGGTGACCAGTAACTGCTGTCAAATATTTTGATTCCATCATTTTCAGTTTCATGTACATAGGTCTGTATGTCTTTACTTTCTTTTTTTAATTTCCAAGTTGGCCGGAAGCATGGTTTGATCCTGATTCCAGAAATTGCTAATATATTCTTGCAAAGTAATTAGAGATGCTATGTATTTTATATTGATTTTTTTTGCTCCTTTTGTTTTACAATTTTGAATGATGCGGTAAAAGTCAGTCAACTTTTATTCCAATTAATTACCTAACGTACGTGATAGTTAACAGCAGTTTTGATGAGAATTATGAAAATTTCAAATTTTCCAAAATTTTACGAAGAAAGTTTCTCCTATTGTATTCATCGTTTGGACAATTTTAAAACTGTGGTAAATTTTGCTGGAAGTGTAGCTAAAATTCTTCATTTTTTTGGCTGGCGCCTTGTAGTGCTAAATGTGCATTACGAGCTACAAAGACATCTGCGTTAGAATCGAATTTGCTGTGCTCCTCCAAGCCGGGAGCCTGTTCGCAGGCTATAGAAATAATTATTTTTTGGACATCCAAATATGGAGGGAAGGATTGCCAGATCCTGCCTGATTTTCTGACCTTTCACCTCCCCTCTTAGTTAGCGAATGACCGCAGGTTCGGTTGTTGATTCAATTACACAAAGGACGCCTTCAAAGAAGGTACTATTGGTTTGGTATTGGGATAATTTGTTTGCGATGACTAGTTGCGTCAATTTTTAAACATATTGGTCAACTGTTTGTCTAAACAAAGTACTTTTGTACAGCCGTCTCTGTATTAGAATATTGTAGATAGCTTGTGAAGAATTCGAGTAGTGGGCTGATGCTTTGTTGATCAGCTTTTGACGTTTGTAAAATAAGGGAAAGATTGGTAGTCTCGTTGCCATACAGTGCAGTTAAAAAAGTCTGCAGTGACAGGTTAAGGAGTTGCATAGTATTGTCATCCATGTTTTTTAGGAACTGCCTTGTTACTTTTCCTTGGACAACAAAAACAAATCTCTTGATTCGACTTGCAGGTATTTGAATTTTGCAGTGGAAAATAACATTCAACGCGTGATGTTTATAGATAACGCAGCAACGAGACAACATCTCCTTAGGGAATATCCCTTTGTGGGGGTCTCCCAGGGCTTTGGGGGAACAAGGGAACATGATCACTTATTTCAAGGGAACAAGGGATACTTGTGGGATTAATTTGAAGGAACAAGGGATATCTTTGCAAGAGAACTTTGACAAAATATTGTAGGGAACAGTGGAATATATTAATAGGGAACATGGGAGGAAAGTGAAATTTTCAAGGGATCTAGGGGACATGCTGCCCGCCCCTCTCCCACCCCCTGAGAGGCCCTCAACGGTGAACGTAAAGTTGCCAACGCACCTAGTTATGCGTGCGCTTTCACAGGTAACAGTGTCTGCTGTGTTCGAGTTAGCATGTTGTTGTATAAGATGCCTGAAATCTGGTTAAAGCATTTAATCCCCCTATGATGTAATAAAGCTAAAAGCTTATCAGTCAAGTAGGTATGGAAGCGTCTCTGTAAATCTTCCCAAGGAGTACCTTTTCATTTATGAACTCTAAAAATTACTTCTTACATAAAAATGTATTCCTGTAAAATTAAGACGAGATATCGCGTTATGTTTCCGTTTATGATACTCTTTTACTTCTTAATCCAAATAACAGAATGATGTAACGTGTATTTTTTAATTTATTGGCCAGTCTTAACAATACCTGGCATTTATTGTACATAGTGAATTTATAAAGTATATGTAAAATGCCCTAAGTGTGGCTTTAAATGAATGCCATGAACTTTGCTATTAAATATACCTAAGAGCTGGCTATCCTCAGCTGTTGTAAACTTGTTTTACTTGTTTGGCTTACGAACAAAGGGATTTGTCAGATCAGTTATATCTGGGGGCGTTTGGAAAAACTAACGTGAACTACGATTGGGTGAATAATTGTTGCCCTTAGCACTCATCGGCCACTCGTTTGTCGAGTTGGAATCTAAATGATAACAGACGAGACCCATTCTTGTCCCCAGAGCCGCTTGTCCCTCTCGACCGTCGAGGCCTTGGCACAAGAAAAAAGTTAAAAGGGTGGCTCTGGAGTGCTTTATCCCTTGGGAAAAGTTTCACAAAATCAAAGTTAGGCTTTTCTTGCCCTTACAAAAGGGAGCCGGGAAGAAAGGAGGGTTGCGGGGCTTAAAGGAGTGGCAGGGACTTGAAGGAAAATCCCCTAGATTCGCTCCTGGAAAGCTTTCTAATCAGGGAAGAAATCTTCCCATCCGTAATCATTAGCATTCTCTTGCTTGTCTCCCAGGGACTCGTCATCATCAGAGGCGTGGTAAGTATCTAGTTCTTGGAGATTAGCGCGAATTTCTTCTTCCTCTTGAGACATCTGCAAATGAAAACGTCGTTGCAAAATTGTGCGGTTACAGACAAATGCAGTTTACAGTTAATACTTACTTCGTCTTTGACTTTCTTGGCGTGTTTCTCTCGCAGTTTATTCTGCCTGTCAATCTTCTGCTGACGCTTCTCCTTCCTTTGCTCGGTCTCGTCAACCTTCCGTTTGATAGACGACTGAAGTTGCGTCTGCGCTGCGACAGTCCTGCTTCTAGTCCGTGACGCTCTGTTCCCCGCTTGTCTCTTCTTTTCCAATTCCTCTTTCCGCTTTTTCTCGGCTGCTGCCTGCTTAACTGCGATTTTCGCTGCAGTAGCTTGGGCGAACGTCTCCGTGGGGTGTGGTTTGCTAACTCCTGAACTGATGTTCGCGAACTCTCGGATGCGCCGTAATTCCTTCAGTTTCCTTTCTTCTGCAGCGCGCATTTTTTCTTTCACATCCCCAAAAGTGCGTTCAGGGGCGACCTTTTGCTTTCTCAAACGCCGAGAAACTCTAGCAGGTGGAAAGACCTTGTCTCCAACAGGAATGTCGAAAGCGACTGCGTTTTTCACTTGCTTTAACGAGAGATTGAAGTCAGTTGAGCTCAGTGGCTGAACAGCGTGGACAGTGTTCATTTCGCTGGCGACTCGTCGCGGCTCCGGAAAAATCTTCATTGCTGGATCCGTCTTGCTGCGAGAGGTTTTGAACTTGGACAGTAAGGATCCACACATCTTCGAAAAAGAGTTGCTTGCAACGTGTACAAATCGTGTTAACAACCTTCTAAAATTAGCAAACTTGTTGTTGCCCTGGATTCGTTTGTTACGTACGAAGACGTCACATTCAAGCGACGTCGATTAGAAGAGAGGATGATTAGAACTCGCACACGGAACATCGAAAAAAGGAGTTCGCCTGTGAATCATAATTTTGGGTTTTTATGCTTGTCTGAACGAAATCAGAAAAAAAAGATGCTTATTGTGAACGTTCTGAATCCGCAATTGAATGTCCCTTTCCATGTTTTGAACAACCCTTGGAAACCAGTTGTAGCGTGACCAATCCAAATTACCAATTTATTACTTTTTTTGGGGGGGGGGGNATATTCAGATTCCTACTCTCAATAGGTCAGAGTTTGGAAACGGGAAGCAAATGGCAACGAGCGCGTGTTCTAGTGGCGCTAGTCAGTGGATAACATGATCACGGATTGAAGGACGTGAGAAAGGTTTTGCTGCCCACTGTTAGCAATTGCAGGAGCTTTCGTTGTGCCAGCAATGATTAATGAACAGAAATAGAATATCTAGAATGGAGGAGAGTAGTAATGAACGAAGAGGGTTTTTTTTTGCTGGACTAAGGTGCTAAAAAGAAAACGGAAGGAGTATGCCAACATTTGCAAAGAGTAACGCTAGCGAGAACAGAAAATATTATAATATGGAACTGAAATATCATTTTTGCCGCATTCCCATTTAAATACTCAGCACGTGGGATGGGGAAAGGAACGGACCAGACAGCAAAAACCATTTTCACAATAACTGTCTAATTTCACGCGCGCTGATTGGTTCATTTTTATCATCAATAAGAGTACAGACGGATAAAATGTTAATTTATGCAAGCTTTCAAGTTCAACTTTCAGCTGTCAAACTGTCAACTTTTTAACCAATGAGATTTTATGGACTTTTTTAAGTAGCCAATCAAAAAGCGAGAAAAGCTATTGACACTATTCACTTTGTTTACGGCAAGTTAACGGCGTCTTTGCCCCCCATTTATTCCCGGCATTTGACCATTTTGGGGTCTCATTATTGTAAAAAAACAAATTGACGTCAGTTTTTTATGCGTCTGTCCTCTTATTGATGATAAATTTCGTCATAACATTATTAAAATTTAGTGCGGAACCACTCGCCTGCTGCTCGTGGTTCCACAGCCACTTTGACAATGTTATGACCCAATTTATCATCAATAAGACGACAGACGCATGACAAACTGAGAACGGGCCCTGATCGTGGACCCAGTCTTCGAAACGGCCTAATTTAGTGCTTGGTTACTAGGTGCTGTGCCTTCGTCAGCTGGACAGCTGGGCAAGAAAGACGGTTGCGGAGATTTTGCAAACAACTGACCAAAAACTCATTTAACTTTATAAGTTTAACGTGCCTGGAGGTAATAAGATTTTCTTTGTTTTTTACATGAGCATTTCCATAAATTTATATAGACTGGTGTCTCAAACTCTTACATTTTCTTTCATTTTGCTTTCAAAGATCTGGGACTACAAGCCTACGTGCCGCATACAGCGTAAAATACGAGAGTTTTTTTTGAAATTTTGCGGCTTCTAAGTGATCAGTTAAGCTTCATTCAATCATCGTATTCCAGTTCAATCACTCAAGAGACATCATTTCTGGAAACGAAAGGTAAACTACTAAAACATGATAATTTATCAATACCGAATGTTTAAATTTGGTCTCTATATTAAATTTAAGTCTTAGCTTCGTTCTCATTGCTAATTTTAAACTTTGCATGGCACTTTGCATAGTTCATTCCTATCCATGATTGCGTGTTATCTGGCTTCCCTCTTTTGAACTCTTTCGGTTTTAGGATCAAAATTGAAACTCTCTTAGCTATATTTCACACGTTTGCCATAATTTTTATTGGAGGATTTTGGTTTTTGACCGAGGTAGTTTTCACGTCTTGAGCCTGGAGGAGTTATAGACTTGTTAAGACAAAACAAAACGAAATTACAACTGAATCCATTCCATTCAACGCATCGAGTTTTACTGCTGAAATTTTCACATGATGTCATTCGTTTCATTAATTAGACACAACAGCGATCACTACGTAACTTGAGTTCTTATACATATATATGAGACTGATTGAAGTTTAAATTGATTCTTTTTCGCGGTAAAACTTGCATTTTTAACAATGGATTATATCTCTCCTTGGTGTAATAAGTTTACATCGTCGGCATTCCGGAAGATTTCATCACGCAAGAAGTTTTGTCACTTGGAATCAAGGACGCCTTCAGCGAAAGGTGCAAAGAAACACACGTAAAACTAAACTCAAAGATGATCGAATCCAACTACCGTCTTGCTCAAAATTTGTTTAACAAAATGGTTTGCTGGTTTATATTTTAAGTTTCAAGACTGAGAAATTCTTAGCAACAATGCCAGTTTACTCAAAGGACGTCGAATTCTCATAAACCCACAAACATGGACTTAATCTAGGGCCATAGCCAGTTTTCGTTATTTTTGCCTTCCATATTATGAAAAATAATCTAGAATCTCCGTTTGATTGAAGAAAGTGTACGTAAGTGATTTCAATTTGCCGAGATTTTAAATTAGTCTCTTTTTCGCTTTTCGTGTAATGAAATGACATACATGTTTTTGTTTTCGTTTTTATTTCGTATCCTGCAATTGCCCGTTTTTTGAGGGAAAAAATAACGATTTTTGATAACGTGCAAAGCCGAGAAAATGGCGAAAAACTTGCAGTTGCGATCAAAAAGGCTGGACGAGCCACTGGCAAGCGGTTGATTGCTCTTTGAGGTTTATTTTAAGACGCATCATCTATAAAAAATCCTACAATATGTCAATTTAGTCTTCAATTGGTTTTTTCGTCGATTTTTATGACCGTATTTGTTCGAAATTAAAACGCATGACTTGTCGATCTAGAGGTTGTTATGCTTAATTTTGTGTTGATTTTTAATCATACATAGCATATAGAGAGCAACTGAAACAATTAAGAATTAAGTACTTCCGTGAATATTCCCTGAATTACATTATTCATTTCTTACATGGAAAGCCGGAATAAGGAAAAAGAAAACAATTTCTTACTTTATGAAAACTCTACTCGCCGATGAAAGTAGAGTTTATCAGTTGATATGAGTCTAAACTTAAATAATGAACGTCTTTTTGTCAACGAATAAAGCTGCTATAAGTGAAAAAAACCCTTTTCTTTAGTTCTACATGCCCTACCCAAATACAAGCCTTCCGCATTTATTTTGGCGTGAGCGAGTTTCCACCTGGAGCGCTTTAAGTAGCACAAACCTTGTCAGATCCAATATTCAAGAAATTCTCGACGTTATCTCGATATTCTTAGCATAGTAATAATGTCCAAAATATTCTTTCAGTGTTTTTTTGTCCAGAAAAGCTATATTAATCGCGTCAGGTTATTTTTTAAAGGTAAGAACTTTGATTGAAATTTGTATTTTTCATTCGACTGTTTGTTGTTGTCTCTTAACGTTAGAATGATTTGTAAATTAAATGATCTTCTTGTCTTGGCGAATCTTTAGTTTTTACGAGGAAGAGCAATTTCCATTGAACAGTGAAAGCAGTTGAGTCCTAGGACTAAATTGTTTAAATTGAAATGCGGCCTGATCCAATCGCAAGCAAGGGAGATAGGAAGTCGAATTTGTTGTACTTATGTCTTCCTATGCTGTAATTACATCGAGAAAACTGTCTCCAAAACATGTGAATTCGCAGTGTTT